CTAGCCAATAAGTGGAAAAGTTGTGTATTATTTGGGCACTTGCCATCTGATTTAGGTTTTGTTTTTGTTGGTACCCTAAGCTTTAAATTAGCGAGCATAGCTTTGCATTCAATTTCAGTGTCAAATATTTGTTAACTTTACATAATACTGTTTTCTTTTCAGTTAAAGCTTGTCTCTTGTTCATTTCTAGACAGTCATATGTTTCCTGTATAGGTGTCTTGCGTTCTGTTTCAGGCAATGCCAGAAGAGTAATAGGACAGAAAATGTTTTTCAGTTAAAATTTTCTTGCTTGAATTTTGTTTTCATCTAAATGCGTAGGGGACAGTACTGCTTGATTCATTACATAATAATATGCCAGAAAGTGTTTTTAAATTTAATCTTCAATTATCTTGCTACTAAAAGCTTTAATAGGATGTTTTGTTGGTTTTTTGCATGGCTAAGTTCAGTTGCAACTGATTAACTGTGTTGAAGCCAGTAGAATAAAGCAAATAAATTTCAAGTCTTTTTTTCCGTTTTCACTGAAAAATGGGTATTTAGAATTGTTTTTAAAGTATGTCATTAAATGTAGATCAGCAAGAAAGATTTTTCTTTTTTTGAGTATTTTGAATGATATCTTGTGATCTATTTTCCAAGAATTTTAAATATTTTTGACCTTTCTCTCTCTTCACATTAATCTCCTGTGTTAGCTTTTCTTGTGAAATCCGTGCATCGTCTATCTCTCTCTGCGGATAGTCCTTTTATCGAGTGAAGAAGAACCTGATTCTCATGGACGGAGGCATGGTGCCTTAGATGGAGGCATGGTGCCATGCCTCTGTCCAAGTAATGGAGGCACCTCATGCCTCCATCCACTTGGACGGAGACATGAGATGCCTCCGTCCACACTTGGAGAGTGTGGCACCATGCCTCCATCCAAGTAATGGAGGCATGGTTTGCCTCCATTCAAGCACCATGCCTCCATCCACTTGGATGGAGGCACGATGATGTCTCCAGAGGTGTTCCCGCCCGTGCAAGCGATTTTTTTTTTTTTTTT